AGCAGGCTCCAGGCTTTGAGCTGTCAGCACAGAGCCTGACGTGGAGCTTGAACTCACAAACCACGAGATCATGACCTGAGCCAAAGTCGGACACTCAACCGACTGAGCCACCCAGGCACCCCTTAAATTATTTTTTTAATGTTTATTTATTTTTGAGAGAGACATACAATCCATATGACGAATTTCCATAAGCCATTTTAAAAATTCCAGTTTCAAGGAATATTAATGGCATGAGAACATGGCCACAGTGAGAGCTTTAATAAACTGTACAAACGCAATTTTTAAAAAAAAAATTTTTTTTCAACGTTTTTATTTATTTTTGGGACAGAGAGAGACAGAGCATGAACGGGGGAGGGGCAGAGAGAGAGGGAGACACAGAATCGGAAACAGGCTCCAGGCTCTGAGCCATCAGCCCAGAGCCTGACGCGGGGCTCGAACTCACGGACCGCGAGATCGTGACCTGGCTGAAGTCGGACGCTTAACCGACTGCACCACCCAGGCGCCCCTATATTAAGTACATTATATACATTTAACTTATCCTCTTAAAGGATAAAGATACAAAACTGCAACAACTTTCAGGTTGTATGGATACTTCTTCATGGCATTATGAATTACTGTGCAAAATAGGATCTTGCAAGAATATTGTCTAGAAATAAGCATTTCAATTGCCAAGATTAAAAGGAAAAGTTACTATGCTATGCAAAATGAGCAAGCATCCATTACTGAGAAATATCTAAAAGGAAGTTCCTTGTTGAACCTGTCATGCAACGTCAATTTTGGTCAGAGACTATCTTATAAAATTTGTGAAATACTACTGGTTATCACAAGTACTCTTCAGAATAATTGTGTAGACCAGGGGTCAGTAAGTTACAACCAAATCCAGCCACCCCTCCTTTTGTAAATAAAGTTTTATTAGAATATATTTATTAGTCACGCTCATTCATTCATATATTGTCTAATGGCTGCTTTCACACTATGAAAGCAAAGTTCTGTAGTGGGCTTGCTCTACTACCTGTCTCTTTACAATACAGACAGCTAAAACATCTAAGTAAATAACTGTACTTGTAGTAAAAGTACCAGAATGGGGCACCTTGGTGGCTACTAGTTAAGCCTCTGACTCTTGATTTAGATTTCAACGCAGGTCATGATCTCACGGTTTGTGAGTTTGAGCCCCACAGTGGGCACTGAGCTAAGCGCATGGAGCTTGTCCTCTCTCTACTCCTCCCCTGCTCATGGGCATGTGCATGTGCTCGCGCTCTCGTTCTCTCTCAAAATAAATAAATAAATAAACATTAAAAAAAATGTATCAGCATAGATATCCAGATCCTAACTTATGGAGCTCATACTCCGAGATAGTGACATGATATATGCAAATAACTTACAACACAAGGTATGAAAAGCTAAGTGCTAAGATAAGTAGAGTGACATAAAAAGGATGAGATTGCACCCACTGTATGAAATCTTGAAGGAAGCAGCTTTTGCAATGGGTTTTGAAGGATGGCTATAATATAGACACGTAGGATGGGGAGACTTCCAATGTGAAGAAAAGCAGAGCTGTGAAAAATTACAAACATGACAGTGTACTTTGCATAGAGGAGGACAGTTAGTAAAAAATGCTAATAAGCATTTTGAAGCCAAAGCATAGGGAAGACTTCCAATGTCAGGATTAGCAGTTTAGATTTTAAATACAATCAAGTTCAAAAGCAAGGAGGTTATAAGTGAATACAACTGTGCTTTAGAAAGATCAATCTGTCAACAGTATTTCAAACGAATTTAAGGAGACAGGTGATAAGGAAACTAATTACAAAGTATTAAAATAAGTAATGAAGGTGGTGACAATGGCACTGGAAAAAAGGATACACTGGATAAAATGGAATAAACACATTACTATAATAGCAAAATCACTCAAATACTTATGATCAGACAGTTGCATTTGGATACAATATAAACCTCTTACTCATAAGGGGTAAAAAACCATCTCCCCTACCTTTGAACAAAATATTATTTCTAATTAGTTCTGATAATTTAAAACTATTTAAATAGTAATTTAAAGTGCTGGGCTACCACTTTCCAGTTTTTAAACTTACTCTGGATATAAGCATATATTAATACTGAATTCATTTACTAGGGCCCCATCTGCTGGACCTGTGGAAGGAAAAGTCTGATCTTAAATTTGGGCTCATAAATGCTTCTGCTAAATTGCTATAAATAACAGTAAAAGGATGTGCATTACAGCAGCTCTTCTCCTGGTATACCAAATGCCTTCTTTAGGAAAAGAACCATAAAATTTACCTTTATATTTTATAAAGCATGAAAAACTTTATTGTTGCTTAAACTGTTGATTTTTTAAATAAGAGATTTTGTATTCAAACCTCACAAATATTTAAAAATACGTAACTAAGAAATTTATTTCTCAGTATAAGAATAAGCTGGAATTCATTAGACTGATCTTATTGGTAAGGCATACTGAAGAAAAGTTTTACATCCTGTTCATTAAGAACTAAGCTGCAGCTTGTCAGTTGGCTTCTGGCTGAGCTCTACCAATGGAAGACAAAAATGATCTATTGACAGGTAGAAGAAAGGGAAAAAACAAGGAATTCCATCCTGCCTTTTTCTCTACCTAAAACTGAATCTCCCTAAGTGGCTTCAGCTCCTTCGGGAAGAGTCTAGTTCCCACCAGATAACCCTAGCCCTTGGCCTCCAGGACCTGTATCCTACCTGTATCCCTCCATTTATCACCACTGACTCATCTCTGGGTTGCCTCACCATCTATTCTCTTTTTGGCTTAAGTCTTCCATTACTTATGTAACCAGTTCTCTGCATTAAAGTCCCTTTATGTAAAAGAATGGGAGGAGGCAGGGAGGGACAGAATGAAGATAGAGCAAAATGGCTTAGCCCTAGCTTTCTCTAGCTCTAGCCTCACCGTACACCAGCCTCATTTCACAATGGAAAAGAAAGAGCAGTAATATGACTATACTTTCTAGATCACTTGTGTACATCCATCCTTCTCAAATATTTTGCTTTGTATTATATGGTGTGCCAAGACGATTTACATGAAACATTAGAATAGGCATATCCATGGTAGGATGACTTAAAAAAATATTTGTGGGGCTGGGTGGCTCAGCTGGTTGAGCGACCAACTCTTGATTTTGGCTCAGGTCATGATCCAGGGTCGTGGGAGCAAGCCCCAAATCATGGAGATGGAGCCTGCTTAGGATTCTCTCTCTTCCTCTCTCTCATCCCTCCCACCCCCCACCGCTATTTTTCAGGTTTTTTTTTTTTCTTTCTTCTTTGAATTCTTTATTTTTTTAAGTTTCTTTATGGGGGGGGGGGTGTGGAGGGAGGGGCAGAGATAGGGGAAGAGGAAGAACCCCAAGCAGGTTCCACACTGTCAGCACAGAGCCTGACAATGGCTCAAACTCAGGAACTTTGAGATCACGACCCAAGCCAAGATCAAGAGTCAGACACTTAACCAACTAAGCCACCCAGGTGCCTCCCATCCTCTAAAATTAAAACGAAAAGAAAAGAAAAGGCACATTAAAACAAACTACAAGGGTGCTATCAATTCAATGCAGGATAGCCTTCAACAAATGCTATGGGACAATTGGATATCCATATGCAAATAATAGTATTATTACTATTAGGACCTAGGTCCTAATAGTAGGACCCCTACCTCATACCATATACAAAAATTAACTCAAAATGGATCACAGACCTAAATTTAAGAGGTAAAACTACAACACGAGTATAAATCTTCATCGCAATGGATTAAGCGGTTTATTAGGTATGACACCAAAGCAATAGAAACCTATGAAAAAAATAAATTGAACTTTCTCAAAATTGAACTTTTGTGCTTCAAAGGATCCTATCAAGAAAGTGAAAAGACAAAAGAATGGGAAAAAATATTTAAATTATATCTAACAAGGGACTTGTTTATATCTAGAATATATAAAGAAATCTTGTAACTCATAAAAGGGCAATAATTCAATTTTAAAATACATAAATGATATGAATAGACATTTCTCCAAAGATGATACATGAATGGCCAACATCCCTGGCCATCAGAGAAATGCAAATCAAAATCACAATGAGATAGTTGCCTGGGGCAGAATGTAGGGAAGTAGACAGTGTCTGGAGCCAGTTTCTTCAACAGAAAGAAAGCAAAAGCAAAGAAGTATCAAATATGTTCAATTACCTACCTACGTCATTATAAAATGAGTAAAAAGAGAAGCTATCTTTCTGCCAGACCAAAGGAACTATCAGACTAACTGATGCAAAGGTCTTTCAGAAATACAGAAAATGACTCAAGACATAAGCATACATTTGAGGCTGTTTCTGCTATAAGCTGTAGATTTCACAGGAAAACATAGTTTTGGCTGCTAAAATAGAAAATATTCATATTAGGTGTTATTATTGTAGAACAATCAATTGTAACTTCATGCACTACCGTAATTACAAAACTGAACAACTACATTTAGCAGACAATTAATAATCACAAAAGTAGTCTTAAAAGAAACTACTTTGCTAATAAAAATTTCTAGGAAATTGGTGACATATTAATACCTCATTTTCAGGGATCTTTACACTAATAATTTTGTTACTTTAGTATTAGCTGTCTAAAACAGCTTTGTGTAACTACTTAGAAATAACTGAAAATCACAACTTCTGAAAAAAATCTTAGATTACCCATGTAACATTAGTGAAGGAAAAAAAAATCAGTGAAAACTCTTTCTTTAAATATTCCTTTTGATGATTCTGTAAATGATAATATACTCCAGATACACTGTAATGACAAACAACTAAGGCAAGCAAAGACATCAAATTCACAAGTTCGATTTAAAAAATTCTATTTCCAATAATGCAATAAAAAACATAGGTTCCCTTACCTCATCATCATCATCAGAATCATTCCCAAACACTGATGGTTTTTGCAAAACAGGGTGCAACTGCTGTGCTTTCTTTGGCAAAATAAGCCCATACCTGCATTTTGTTTTTGAAATAGAAATTACACCATTATATTTAAATGTTAAAAAATAATACATCCACTACTTCTTCCAGATGAAGCTACCAAGTCAAAACATATGACACAGCTTATGAACACAGAACAGGGTTTCCACTTTCCAATGATCTCAAAGTTCTAATGTGTATTAAGATTTTATAATTACTCTTCTAAGTAATTGTTTGCTGACACGGGCCAAATTCAAATACCATTTTAATAAAAAAAGAGAAATAACTGAAGAGTTCAGAAATGTTTTAGATGATGAAATAATGTTTTAGAAAGAACATGTTAGAGGAACGCTCGTTTCATGCCTACTAAAAATTTTAAAACACTCTAAATTATCCTTGTGGTCGAACAAGAAAATAGCTGTTTTTTTTTTTTTTTTTTTCCTACTGGGTACTTACATAGTTTAAAATAAGTTATTGGGTAATGTGACCCACGAAAAATTTTTAACAGATTACAGTAACTGAGAAACTCAAGAAGTCACGGGACAAATGCCCATTATATTCTATTGCGCTCATTTGCTCTGTCTTGGAGCATCTCAGAAAACCATCCCATCAGGTCCAACTCATTTAGTTTCTCACGCTTTGGCCTTTAAAATGCCGAGATGACGGGAAACTCCATCAAAGTAAGAATTATACATCAAAGGTAAAACTTTCAAGAACATACAATATTTGTCTCTCTTGCGGCAACGTATACCCCAGGTCCCTATTATGCCTACCCTCTTGTGGCTTCTCAGCACAACATTCCTAAAACAAGGAGGGAGGGCGGGAATCAGGACTTGAGCAGCCAAGGAGAACAAGGCCCTCTAAGGAAGCCAGGAATTGTCTCTTCTCATTGCCCCTGAAAGCATCCAACCAGGGAGAAACTCAAGCGCGGGGTAGGAAGCAAGACTGAGGGGCCTCAGACCGAGCTTTTGGAAAATAGAAAAGTCTCGCTCTCTGCCCCTCAGCCTAACTTCCTTTATTTCCTCACAAGTTTCTCCCTCAAACTTCGGACTTCCATCCTGGAAAATGTGGGGGGGAGGGGAATATGTTCCTCAGGATTTCTCGCTTTTCCCCGCCTCTATCCCTGACGACAAAGCCCCTTCACTTCCAGCGCACTTTTACTCGTCGGTCAAAGACTAAGTCGCCGTGATCTTTCATTCCCAGCCTAACCCTAACTCCCGGATCACTCACTGCCTGCCCGGAATCGCCATCTTGCTCCCGTCTCCGCTGAACGTGGCCGACGGCTACGTGACGCTCACGCAGACGTCAACGTCATCACGTACACTCTCGCGCGGATCTGGGCGGCCTGAAACACTTTTAGCGGCTGAATCCCTCCTTGAGCTGCTTCCGTCTTGCAAGGGCCCGAGTCCTACGGCCTTAGGCTTTGTTTGGAAACCAACTGGCTGCCTGGACGTTTTGGGAAGAAAGGAATGACAAAATTCTAGGCCAGCAATTCCCAAAGTGTGGTCCCAAGAGCATCACCAGGAATTTGTTAAAATGCAAATTCTCTGGCGGTTTCCCAGACTTACTGCATTTGAAACTCCCGGATGGGGCCCAGCAATCTGATTACAGAGCCCTGCAGGTAGCTTTGATATTCAAGTTTGAAAAACACTGCCGTAAAGCTATAGATTTTTTTTTTTTTTTCCACCGAGGCTTCAGTGTGAGTATACCTGGCTCAGGGTAACTTGGCAACTGAAAATCTGTATGTTAATATAGGACCTATGCTCATAGACGAAATTATTAATAACAGCATCGTGGTAATACTGGATATAGGAATCAAAATTATATGTTATATATATATATTTTGTTTTGTTTTAAATTCTAGTCGCTTTTCGTCTGTTCATCCACCAGCTCTTGACCTGTTCAAAACTAGTTTTCTAGCAGCCAAAGAGATCTTTTCAGTTACTGACAAAAGGATGTTAAAATCTCCAACTGTAATTGTGGATTTGTTTATTTCTCCTTTTAATTCTGTCAGTTTTTGTCTCACCGATTTTGAAATCCTATTATTTAGGTATTTAAACATTTAGGATTGTTAGGTCCTCTTGCATTGACCATGATACCATTAAGAAATGACCCTGTCTTTTTTTCTCTTTATGTACTTTATCTGATTTTAATATAGACAGTTTTTATTGTTAGCATAGTTTATCTATCTAAAAGTAGATATTTTAATCTACTTGTGTCTTTATATTAAAAGTGGATCTCATGTTGATAGTATATACAATAAAACCTTTGTGAGTATAATTCATTCTGGAAACATGCTTTTAATCCAAAGCATATGTATATGAAAGTGAATTTCCCCATAATAAATAATGGAAACTCAGACGATTTGTTCCATAATCCAAAATACTCATATAAAAATGATTATAATACCGTAATAAAATACAAAATAATATAAAATATAAAGAAAAATAAATTAACCTGCACTTAACCTTTGAAAACCTTTGTGGCTGGTGTGAGGGAGACAAGAGAGAGAGGAGGGTTATTGTGTAGGACAACTTTCACTATCACTAGCGGGGTCACTGCTGTCTATTGGCTCAATGGTATCTTCTGCATGGGGGCCATTGTATATGCTCACAGGGATGTTGACTACAGTACAATATTAATAAACTTGTCATATACTGTATCTTATTTGTATATTATTTTTAATTTGTATCCTAATTAGCATATAGTACAATAATGATTTCAGGAGTAGATTCCAGTGATTCATCCCCTATCACACTCAGTGC